GCTACTACACCCACCACCATCGCTACTACACCCACCACCATCGCTACTACACCCACCACCATCACTACTCCACCCACCACCATCACTACTACACCCACCACCATTGCTACTACACCCACCACCATCGCTACTACACCCACCACCATCGCTACTACACCCACCACCATCGCTACTACACCCACCACCATCACTACTCCACCCACCTTAATGTTTCTGGAAAAACTCTGAGTATTGAAATGGAGGTTACCTCTTCCCTGGATTTATATGAAAACCAAACAAAGGACGAGGTGCCTCAGTACAGTCTGGGATTAGTGTGGGAGTATTATCCTTCCAGTTATGTCTTGGAAGAGCACATGGGATGGGACAAAGTATCTGACATTCCTCTGGGTACAGAGTTGGATTTTACTTCAAATACGGCGGCAATTAGTGGTGGCATACCTGAAGCTCACTCGTAACTCAGATTTTGGCTCGCAACTCAAAGCAATGAATCGACCGAGCGACGGCTCGTAACTTGGAAAACTCGTAAGTTGGGGCACTTGTAAGTCAAGGTACCACTGTATTGGATTTAAAAGGTCAGATTAATCAGTACTGTACTCGAATTAGCCGCAGAACGAATACAAGCCTTTATCTTTCCATGCTTATTTATATATAAATATAAATTAGAAGCACCTGTGTATTAATCAGTGTTTTGGTTCACCTGTTGAGCTTTACAATAAAAAATCATTACCACAATGTATATGCATTAAAAAATCAAGGTAACTTCTTGTACTGCATAGCAGAAATAGTTTCCACTTACAATGATTTCTATAAACACTGCACTGAATGACATTTAAATAAAATTTGACATCAAAATTTAAGATAATTTCAAAATTAAGTACAGTAGTTCCACCCATTTTTTATTTTATTTGCTGACTGACAAAGGTAACATTTCAAATAAATGCTCAAAAACTGCAAAAGGAAACAGTAAAATGTGATAGTGATGAAATACTGACGTGTTATGTAAGTGTGATCAGTTATAGAATATTACACATCTGCACTTCCTTCTACCTTCCCATAGACTGGCTTTGCAAGTGAATTTTACAGACAGGAGTGGATAAACATGTTATGATTTATTACACTAATTATAATAAGGCAATTGGGGTTGAAGGTAAAATAGACAACTTTACACAAATGGGATCCATACCAGCAATAAAAACATTCTCAACATTCTGATATTTACGTGTACGTTCTGCCTTCTTTGTGCTTGAATGCAAACTGTTTTGTAAAACACATCAGCAATGACTTGAAATCCAAAAAAAAATGTAATTAATCTGATATTTGATGCAGGTGAAGACAGTATACATATATTACTATGTGCAATGAGTTAATAAATTGTGTCACTTTGAGGGTTAATGTTAAGAAAAATATCTTGGAAGTATATCCGAGACTCTTCAACTAATATTAAACCTCTGACAAAATTATATGATGTTTAGATCATCACCCACAGTTTATGAATATTGACATTTATCTTACATTATTTTGTTTCAATAATCATAAACTTAATATGGCCAAGTTAAAAAAAAAATTGTGTGAGGATACAATATAAAAGTATGAAGTTTATTTTTCCATTTGCTGTTAAAACTGACCCTTCAGTATTGACAGGGTCAACAATCTTCAGTATTGACAGGGTCAACAATCTTCAGTATTGACAGGGTCAACAATCTTCAGTATTGACAGGGTCAACAATCTTCAGTATTGACAGGGTCAACAATCTTCAGTATTGACAGGGTCAACAATCTTCAGTATTGACAGGGTCAACAATCTTCAGTATTGACAGGGTCAACAATCTTCAGTATTGACAGGGTCAACAATCTTCAGTATTGACAGGGTCAACAATCTTCAGTATTGACAGGGTCAACAATCTTCAGTATTGACAGGGTCAACAGCCTTCAGTATCAGTAGAGTCAAGAGCATTCTGTTTTTTATCATTCTATTTAATCCTCACAATTTTTTTTATAAAAGTGGATCCATTGGGGTTAAAATAATGTTCTTAAAAACAAAAGAGAGAGAGAGAGAGAGAGGTTTTGAATACTCCCACAACCATGGAAGAGAGAAAAATGTTCCCACAAGTTAACAAGGGACAGCACACCAAAAATAATAAAGTATGCTGGATAGCAATGTGTGTGCATGAAAGAGATTGAGGAGATGTTGAATGGTTCAAAAATGAGGGTGACAATTAGGTAGTAGGTCCAGGAGCTGGATAAGCATGTTAGGGAAGGAGCTCCAAGAGCTAAATAGGTATGTAGGGACTATATATAGGTATAGTAGAGAGAGTATGTCCAGGGGCTGGATTTGTCTTGAAAAAGAATAGTCGATTCAGGGTCAGAATTGGTTTGACAGAAAGGATATTAGGCCAATGAGCTGAATAGGTCTGGTAGAAAAAGGTCCAAGTTCTGGATAAATTTAGTAGGGAGATAGTCCCAGGGGTACACATATTTTCTAGAGAAATAGTGAGTTCAGGGTCAGAGTAGATCTGGTAGAGGGATAGTGGGTCCAGGGTCAGGATAGATTAGGTAGAGGGATAGGTCCAGAGGCTCAATATGTATGGTAAGAGAGAGAGGTCTGGGGACTGGATAGATGTAACAAAGAAACCCAGCAGCTGAATAGGTGGTAAAGAGAAAACTAGGGACTGGATAGATGTGGTTGAGATGTCTCAGGGCTAGGTAGGTATGGTAGGTTTAAGGGCTGGACAGGTAGGAGAGGAAGGGTAGGTCCATCAGCTGGATAGGCAGGATAGAGGAAAGGTAGGTCCAGGGGCTGGACAGGTAAGAAAGGAAGGGTAGGTCCAGGGGCTGGACAGGTAAGAAAGGAAGGGTAGGTCCAGGGGCTGGACAGGTAAGAAAGGAAGGGTAGGTCCAGGGGCTGGACAGGTAAGAAAGGAAGGGTAGGTCCAGGGGCTGGACAGGTAAGAAAGGAAGGGTAGGTCCAGGGGCTGGACAGGTAAGAAAGGAAGGGTAGGTCCAGGGGCTGGACAGGTAAGAAAGGAAGGGTAGGTCCAGGGACTGGATAGGATGGATAAATGTGCCTGTACACAGATAAAACTTTAGCCTGTTGTGGTGTACTTTATAAATGACTTATGTATAAAATGCTTTAATAATTAAACGAGCATTGGTGATGTCCAAAATATTCCGTAGGATTACATTATGTGATACATTATCAATGCAAGACAAAACCAAAATTCTCAAAACTATGTACTAAAAAATTAAAAAAAGGGGTAGAAATACAGCTTAAAATCAGAGGATATTCTGCACTACAAATCACAGTTAATTTGGAAGTTGCTTCACTGCCTCGGCTAAACATAAGAAGAGTACAAACATAGTCAAGGACATTTCAAAGGCTTAGCAGAAGGGAAGATTCCCTAAATTTGCCTGAGAGTTGACTTAAGGAGATAGGCAAGTCAACTACTGAGCAAGGGGAGTGTCCGAGTGTCTTCCGTCAAACACACAGCTCTCTTGCGCGCTACAACATCTCACTCCCCTACTTTAGGAGGCCAAAATTTGGCCAGCACAGCATAATGGAGAATGGTTGAACTACTTGTTTACTAACAATTACACACATTCTTGAAGACAAGACGAACATTGTAGAACAAGATTATATGGGGACAACTTTTTGTGTGTAGAGTTAAAAAGCTTTACCAAGCTCTACACAGAGCAACACTGTCCCATTAACACCTTGCTCTGCATCCCATCTTGTTTCCTCAGTACTGTTGGTAGCATGCTATTTGCACACATTATTCTTAAATTACCAATTTTTAAAGCAAACAAATACCATATTTGACAAAATCTTGACATTACGTGGTATTTAAAAGTGTATTTGAATATAGAGTAAGCCACTACTTACCATGGAAGCTTTGTTAAATATAAGCCTTTAAAATAATTTAGCAACTGTAAGATGGTTATCCCTGAATGATAATTATTGTTGCAATCATACTAATATAAAAGTTAACACAGTGTTCCACCATTCAAGACTTATGAGCAGCAGCGGCAGCAGCAGCACGAAAGATGGTGAAGGTAGTGGTACAGGTGGTGCTGGTAGTGAGTGGGGGTTGGTAGTGGTGAGGGGGGGGTAATAGTGACTAGGTGGCAGTGGTGACTGGAGGTGGTGATGAGGAGTGGAGGTGAGGGGATGGGTGGTGGTGAATGTTGAGTGGTGGTGGTGAGCAGTGGTAATGGTAAGTGGGTGTGGTAGTGAGCAGAGGTGAACAGTGGAGAGTAGGGATGAACAGTGTTGAGTGGTGAACAATGGAGAGTGGTGGTGAACAGTGGAGAGTGGTGGTGAAGTGGAAAGTGGTGAACAGTGGAGAATGGTGAGCAGTGTTGAGTGGTGGTGAACAGTGGAGAGTAGGGATGAACAGTGGAGAGTGGTGGTGAACAGTGTTGAGTGGTGGTGAACAGTGGAGAGTGGTGGTGAACAGTGGAGAATGGTGGTGAACAGTGTTGAGTGGTGATGAACGGTGGAGAGTGATGGTGAACAGTGGAGAGTGGTGGTGAACAGTGGAGAGCGGTGGTGAACAGTGTTGAGTGGTGATGAACTGTTGAGTGGTGAACAGTGTTCAGTAGTGAACAGTGGAGAGTGGTGGTGAGCAGTGGAATGTGGTGAACAGTGTTGAGTGGTGATAAACAGTGTTGAGTGGTGAACAGTGGAGAGTGGTGAACAGTGTTGAGTGGTGATGAAGTGTTGAGTGATGGTAAACAGTGGAGAGTGGTGGTGAACAGTGAAGAATGATGGTGAACAGTGGAGAGCAGTGGTGAACAGGGGGGAGTGGTGGTGAACAGAGGAGGGTAGTGGTAAACAGTGAATAGTGGAGTGGTGGTGAACAATGGAGAGTGGGGATGAACAGTGGAGAGTGAAAGTGAACAGTGGTAATAAATGTGGTGTAGTGTGATGTGAATGAGCATCAATTATTACTGTAGTAATGAGAGTATTAGTAATACTCTTACTAGTGTTATGTTGGGTACAGCAGTGTCATGGTAATTATCTTACTGGTGTTATGTTGGGTACAACTGTGTCATGGTAATTATCTTACTGGTGTTGTTGGGTACAGCAGTGTCATGGTAATTATCTTACTAGTGTTATATTGGGTACAGCAGTGTCATGGTAATTATCTTACTGGTATTATGTTGGGTACAGCAATGTCATGGTAATTATCTTCCTAGTGTTATGTTGGGTACAGCAGTGTCATGGTAATTATCTTACTGGTGCTATGTTGGGAACAGCAGTGTCATGGTAAATATCTTACTAATGTTGGATACAGCAGTGTCATGGTAATGATCTTACTGGTATTATGTTGGGTACAACAGTGTCATGGCAATTATCTTACTAGTGTTGAGTACAGCACTGTCATGGTAATTATCTTACTGGTGTTATGTTGGATACAGCAGTATCATGGTAATTATCTTACTAGTGTTATGTTGGATACAGCAGTGTCATGGTAATTATCTTACTGGTATTATGTTGGGTACAGCAGTGTTATGGTAATACTCTTACTGGTGTTATGTTGGGTACAGTAGTGTCATGGTAATTATCTTAGTAGTGTTATGTTGGATACAGCAGTGTCATGGTAATACTCTTACTGGTGTTATCCTGGGTACAGCAGTGCCATGGTAATACTTTTATTTGTGTTATGTTGGGTACAGCAGTGTTGTGGTAATTATATTACTAGTGTTATGTTGGGTACAGCAGTGTCATGGTAATACTCTTACTGGTGTTATGTTGGGTACAGCAGTGCCATGATAATTATCTTACTAGTGTTATGTTAGATACAGCAGTGTCATGGTAATACTCTTACTGGTGTTATGTTGGGTACAACAGTACAAGTGTCATTACTAGTGTTATGTTGGGTACTGCAGTGTCATGGTAATTATATTGTTAGTGTTATTTTGGATACAGCAGTGTCATGGTAATTATCTTACTGGTGTTATGTTGGGTACAACAGTGTCATGGTAATTACTAGTGTTATGTTGGGTACAACAGTGTTATGGTAATACTCTTACTGGTGTTATGTTGGGTACAACAGTGTCATGGTAATTACTAGTGTTATGTTGGGTACAACAGTGTTATGGTAATACTCTTACTGGTGTTATGTTGGGTACAACAGTACAAGTGTCATTACTAGTGTTATGTTGGGTACAGCAGTGTCATGGTAATTATAATGTTTATCTGGAGTTTATCTGGAGAGAGTTCCGGGGGTCAACGCCCCCGCGGCCCGGTCTGTGACCAGGCCTCCTTAGGTCAGTGTCCCAGGATGCGACCCACACCAGTCGACTAACACCCAGGTACCCATTTTACTGATGGGGAACATAGACAACAGGTGGAAAGAAACACGTCCAATGTTTCTACTCTGGCTGGGAATCGAACCCAGGCCCTCACCGTGTGAAGCGAGAGCGTTAGTGTTATTTTGGATACAGCAGTGTCATGGTAATTATCTTACTGGTGTTATGTTGGGTACAACAGTGTCATGGTAATTACTAGTGTTATGTTGGGTACAACAGTGTTATGGTAATACTCTTACTGGTGTTATGTTGGGTACAACAGTGTCATGGTAATTACTAGTGTTATGTTGGGTACAGCAGTGTCATGGTAATTATAATGTTAGTGTTATTTTGGATACAGCAGTGTCATGGTAATTATCTTACTGGTGTTATGTTGGGTACAACAGTGTCATGGTAATTACTAGTGTTATGTTGGGTACAACAGTGTTATGGTAATACTCTTACTGGTGTTATGTTGGGTACAGCAGTAAGAGTGTCATGGTAATACTGTAGTAATAACATTAACTGCAATTTAGTTTACAAAGTCTAACATTAAGTAAACGATTTCTTCAGAAATTTAACTTAGGAAGCAGACTAATTTTTATTAGTGACTATAATCATAATAAATAGTTTAAAGCCTTGTCTTGTCTTTGCTGAAGGCATATTTGATCAAATGTTGTGATCAATAATAATATAAATCTTTGAGTATGACTTACACTATCAAGAGTATTTTCTTGTACATGCCAATTGGGCTTCTGCGTCTTCCATTATGAAATGTTTATCTTCATCAGTTAAGTTATACAGACTGAGACATGATGTTAATTTTCTTTTTATTGTTTTTTTTTACAAAATTTCATTAATAATTTAAAAAACACAGAGTTCACAAACCTTCCTAATTTCATTCTTGAGAAATCATTTCAAAGGTATTAAATGCAAAATATAAGTGAAGTACCAGTACATGTTTTTTGATCACATCATGAGCCTATACTCTAACATGCAACAAGTAGTTAACCATCACCAACATACATGACTGACCAAATTATGTAGTTGTCTTGTAGTTGCACAGCTTTATGTCCACATTGCAGGTAATCTTCAACAGTATATATTTTGGGCCCCCCATTCAAATATCAAGAACCGACATGATGAAATGAGTTATAAATTATCACATATGAGAGCATTCTAATAACAACACATGTTCATACAAAGTATCATTCTAAGTGAGGTGATGAAATAAATTACATGATGAAATTATGACGATATGAAAACTACTTTTGTGACGATGTAGCTCCATGATACTTGTGAGGGCCTTTACAGGAAATATTGACCAACAATATGCAAGTTAAATGCCACTGGTAGCATGCTTAAGTGAAAAAAACACTTACTTCAAGTGATAAGTAGAAAGTGCAGTATGGACTCAGTGACCAAGAATTTTAAGAAGACAACAAGAAAATTTGGATAGAATTAATTGAGAGTGTGTGTGGTATTTACTCAAAGTGTGTTCTTAGTGCTACTTGTATTGAGCAACTGACACAAACAACTCCCAAGTTCTAAATCAAATTTCATGCTGCTCTCAAAAAGATTCTTTAGCAGTTCAGTCTTTATGCCCATGGAATATTACTGTACACACAGTCACAATCCACTTATCAGACTTATCTGTGAACATTATGCACAGCTGTGGGGTGTTCAGCAATGCTGTAAACGGCTCCACAACCGCGTGTTCACTCCTATAGCCTTTCTGCACGATTACCTTCAATTTTTCTAGGGGTCGTCAGCCACGAAATATTGAATTAAACAGGATAGGTGTTTCGTCATTTCGGATATGTAGCTAACCAGTAACAGAAGATAAACACAACTACATGTGTACTGGAAGTATGGGTCTTAAGTATTGAGAATTACATATGACATTTAATATTTTAACTATTAGTCATTAAGACATGCCTTGCCATGAGTTATCATTTACAATAACCCACTACAAGGGTAATACATCTCACAGAGATGATATAACTATTTTACCTGTGGTAATTCTTATATCACAATTTCTTCACTGTATAAATAAAAGGTTTCTATTTTTACAAACTGTTTATAAAGACAATAATATAAAGCATTATGTAATACTTCTTATACTCATGACAAATGATATATTCCTAAATAAAGTATACTGCTGAAATTGCTTATGTACAGTACTGTACATAATTCAGCAAAACATTTTTACATTAAATATTTTTCCATTAAAAGTAAATTTTGTAGCTCTCTCTGTGAAGTGCTACAATGTAAGAAACTTCAGCTTTATTTTCAGAAACATATTTTTCTTTTATTAGCAATTAAAAACTAGTATCTCAACTTAAGTGGATTTGATTAACTTTTTTACCACAGGCAATAGTGTTCCTTCCACACTGAATGCCTCACTGAGGTGGCATCCACGAAGATGTTTATTGTTCCGCTACTGTTTAACACATTTTTAGCCACCAATAACTCAAAGTTGAACAATATAAAAACTTGAAGGATTCTAGTCAATGCACAAAGATGTACATTGATTCTAACAAACAAATCAAGATATGTATTAATCATCTGCACACGTAATTGCAATCATATTTAATGATATACAATGAGCTTATTAAAATGAGCAAATGATGAATACAAAGGATGAATGTGATGACTGGAAGCAGATGCGACTGACTGCACCCCTGTAATGCCTCCCCCAATCACACTTGCTGGAGTGGAGAGTGAGAGAACCACACCACTCAAAATTACCCACACATAAGGGCCACAAAAATGGTACAAAAAAAAAAAAAATTCTTAACACTATGCATATGGGATTCAATTATCGAGAAAATCAGTGGGTATCCTAACCTACACTTTTTATTTTCATATACCATCATAACTTCAATGATGATAATAATAATAATAATAATAATAATAATAATAATAATAATAATAATAATAATAATAATAAATAATAATGATAATAAATGATAATGATAATAAATGATAATAATAATAATAAATAAAAAATAAGAAAAACATTAAAAATAATAACAACAACAACAAATAACAACAGATCTGAGACATTAGAATGAGAGGATTTTTTGTTGCATCTTTCACTCTCCAGTTTGTTGGGCCGCAACTATGGAAGTCCACTGGAGATTTGTCCTCAGGTAATTGAGCGGTGTTTTCAGTATTCTACGTGTCTTCAAAAACTTGCCGAGCACTCTCACTGGCTTTTCTTTGTTATGTCTCGTGTGGTATTTCAGAATTGTGGCCCATTGTCCTTAGTACAACTGCCCATGTATCCTCGCTATTCTGTGTTCTGGTGTGACAAGCAATGCCACATCAAGATAGGCTATCAACAAACTAGTATCAATGCCAGTTGTGAACAAGATACTCTTATATGTACTTTAAATCTATTCATATATCAAAGGGGTTTAGGTTTATTACTGCAATCATGAATGTATGTAGACACGACACATGTCAAAGTTACCACTTACATTTTGTCTACTAATTTGATTAGTTATCATGACTGCTAGTACTGAATGGTTTACAAGTAATGATTTAGCCAGTGCAAGCAAACAAACTGTATAAGATACTCATTGAAATAAACTTTAATGGTTATACAGTATGTGGAAGTGTTATGTATGTATTACTTACCTATTTGTTTGAGATAAACTTTAATTTCAAGATTACTTTTCATATAAAAGACATACAAGGCATAAGGACATGAACATGTGACATATATGTAATTCTTGTTCATAACAGGCTAATACTAATTTGTTCATCTGACTGATGCTAGTTTAGCCCTTAAAACACGTGGGCCAAAATAGGCATTGGTGTATCCCATATTTCCCCGAGTATGAAACTAGAAAATGACCATAACAGCAGTGATCACTTGTATAACATATGGTAATAATTACACTGGTTATATTACTAGAAATGTTGGCACGTCGGTGACCGTTGACTGATAGCAGATGCTGCCCAAACAAGCATCAGCCTTTCATATAATATCCAACTTCTTGTTGAAATTGATGTTCTGCTCTGCACAAAAGTCCCGTGTTAATGGGATGCAGTTAAGGTATTCGCAGATCTTGCACTCGTATATGGGCGTGACATAGAAGAGTATTATAAGCGCTGTGAGCATCACCACCACGGCCACCAGACACACCCAGATGAGCAACACCTTCCTTCGCTTGTCGTATGGACCAAACGACACGAACGGTAGCAGTGCATAAGAAAGCAGGAACCCGAAGATGAAGCCAAATATGTGGGCATAGTTGTCCACCCAGGGTAAGAGCCCCACCAAGAAGAAAGTCAATGTCATGACCACCAGTTTGGCCAGCACCCTCCATGGGTTTCTCATCATCTGCCACGAATTGATGAATTCCACAAACACACATGCCAACAGTCCAAACTGAGAGCCAGAGGGACCAACTTCTGCCCGATACGGGACGAAAATTGCAGAGGCCAGATTGCCTGCGATGCCTGAAACTATGTAGATGACTCCGATCCGCACAGGGCCAGCTAGCTTCTCAACATCTCGCATAAGGTAGTATTGAAGTACTACCGAGATGACCAGGTGAAGAATTCTGAAAAATAACCAGTATTAATGCCCATTTTCCTTCAGCATACACAAGAAAGACTCCTAATATTCAAGGTCTACCATGTGTACTATAACAATTTATAAACTCTGTGGCACAGCCATTTTCATACCCAGGGAGAGCACTATCCATAGTGGCCTTCATACTAGCAGTCTGTCTCTACAGATATGATTAAAAACATAATGAAAAGTCTTCCCTGACTATAGTAATAAAGTGACAACTTGTGTTACAGACGCTGGTCATTCAGTGTAACTTGCTACCTTCAATCTTCTGAATAAGAAAAGTGTATATCCTAAAACAGTGAACAATCTCTTACCCTGCATGAATAAATAAAGATGTCCACAATCTATAAAACTGGTCTGGAACATCAGGGTTGTGAAATGGTATCATACCACACACATTATTCAAGCAGGAAACCTGTAGATGATAAAATATGATATTTTATAACATATTAAACCACCCTGTACAAAAATGCATTTTCTTCAAATATTTTCTTTGTGAAAATATTATAAAACTTAGAATCACAATAGCAACATAATTTAATACTTACCTCAAACATTTACTAAATTATTAATTATTTAGCACAGTCATTACCCAACTTAAAAAAATATGTTGTAATACAGTGTAACACTACATTCAACAGCACTCTGTAACCCTCCAAACACGCATTTCAGAACACCAATATGCAAGCAGGACTGACGATACAAGGAATGCCTGTGTACAACATCGCAATTCACACAACCATTTAATTAACTACAGAAACTCAAGACTTATAGCCACAGAAGACAACACTCAATACCGAAGAATCCTGGAATCATCGCTTATCTCTATAACCAACAATTTCAACCAGAACAATGGCTTCTATAACATAGCTGAACCACTCGCCAAGAAACTTCTTCATCGCTATCCCACATAAGAACATAGAACACTGCAGAAGGTCTACAACTTGTCCAATACCCCTGCCAAGCCACCCAAGACTCTATAACCCCACCCGGTAGATCATCAGATGCAGCATTCTCCACCTGACCTCGACATTCTGAACATGACTATAAATACTCTCGTACCTTCCAACCCCAGGTAGATCCGTGTGTGACTTGAAAAAGCCCACTGTGTGGGTGAAACGTTGTCAATAAAGGATCACATTATACTGCATTTGTGTTTATATTTCCAACCCTCGATGTCAAGAGTGATCACAATATAAACTACATATTCAAAAGTAAAGAAAAATATATATAGTAAATGATGAGAGGAGTACCACAGCCCACTTCCTCATGCACCCTATACCATCAGAATTCTAAATTCCAGTTTTAACCCTGACTAAAGATTTTTCTTAGAAGTATGGAACACAAGAAATAAATTTATCTTGACCTGTGTAAGTCTAAGTTTATGCATGACTATAAAGACAAGAGGTTCAAAATATGGAACAGCTTCACAGAAGCAAGATTGCAAAATGTTAATTAAACTTAAAATATTAAAGATCACTGCCTATACAGTGGTACCCCAAGTATAACACAGCTCCCAACTCAAACAATTATGTAAGTGTATTATTGTAAGCACTTTTGTAAGTGTATTTTTGAAGGTCTTAAACTGACTAAGCTCATTTACATTATTCCTTATGGGAACAAATTCGTTCGGTAATGACACTCAAACAGCCTTCTGGAATGAATTATGGCCAAAACTCGGGGTACCACTGTACTATATAATATCCAACTTAAGTATATGTACATATTCAAACTACTGTACAGTATTATCAATGTAAACTGTAGGTTTCTTTCGTTTATGCAGGTTTATTTTATGTGAATTCTTCACTATGCAATGTCTTGGTTTTATCCATAATTCTGTATGTGCAGTAAGCTCTTGAAATGACGAGCCTTTATATAACAGATTTCGGAAATGCAGAATAAAATCCTAATATTCATTCAATATGGAATTAATGACTAAAGTTCCTTAATTACAAAACTGTCATTTTTTCTTATTATTAGAACAAACCAATTTTTTCTCTATCCACCACAGGTGCCATTATCAGCTACCCATATTCCACTATTAGCCTGGTATATTGAGGGTTTACTGTACAGTCACTGTATGTGATTGTGTCAACACAAGACACTAGGAATATCTCATATATTTTCCTCGAAGAGACATCACTAAAAATTTTATTCCAGCACTGAGTGACAATGACTGGCACAGATAGAATACTGACAACTGGGAAATTAATGAATTGTTGAGATTTTTTCCACAAAAAAAGACAAAGTTTCTGCAATAGATATTGTCCTAATAAAACTATATATCACAACAGAGACTCAACAGCTCATGGCTAACATATAGCTTCCTCAGATCCATTGATAAAAAATATGAAAAAGTTTAGACTGGGCTTAATAGCTAAGGAACAGATCAAAGAATATATGTCAGTACTTACCAAACTAATAAGGAAGTCTAAACAGCTTTATTATGCTAGCAGGTTTCATGAAACAGAGAGATGAAAAATACATGGAAAAGCCTCTATGAAACCCTGGGTTCTCAAAATTACCCAGAACTAGAGATATAGTCTTGACTAAATCAGATGAACTTCAAATCCAGCCTGCTGAAACAGCCAATATACCAAATGGTTTCATCTCTACTATAGGATCAAAACTGCTACAAATGCTCAGGTGGGGGAGTAACTTACTGGAAGTTTTCCAAACTCACGCTATCTAGCTCCAACTAACCCTACTAAGATCACAATTATAATAAATTTACTGAAAAAAAAAGACAGGAAACCTAACTAATTTACCACCACTACTGTACAAAAAAGTAGCTCGTGTGCTGTCACCCACTACTATACTTTTCCTTAATAAATCATTAGAAACCTGAACTTTCTCACTGATACTTAAGATAGCAAGAGTTACTCTGATACACAAAGGAGGCAACCTAATTGAGGTCGTCTCCTTTGTGTATCAAAAAAGTATCCTTTGTGAATCAAAAAAGTATCCTTTGTGTATCAAAAAAGTATCCTTTGTGTATCAAAAAAGTATCCTTTGTGTATCAAAAAAATATCCTCCTTTGTGTATCAAATAAATATCCTATTGTCTCAATATACTCAACTCTTGCCAATTTGGTTTCAGGCTCCCCTACAATTACAAATTTTGCAATTATAAAAATTCTTGAACTGCTTTATAAGGTTCTTGAAAATAATGAATATCCTGTGGGCCTCTTCATAGACTTGTGGAAAGCTTTCGTTACAAAAGATCACAACTTTCTGCATCTTAAAACTAGAACACTATATGTATACGTAAAATCTCATCTTAGTAAGACACATCAGCAAGTCTTGTCAACTCACCCTGTTGACATAGGGATGCCAAAGGGCAGCGCTCTTGGCCCTTTTCTCTTCCCAATATACATCAATGATCTCCCCAACATATCTTGTTCTGCTTGCAGATGACAACTTTTGTGATCTCCCACTCAAATCCAACTTCTCTCAACATCATTGCTGAGCTCCTATAATTATCTACGTGGACGACTACCAAAAAACTCACTCCCAATATTGACTAACCTACTACATAATGTCTGGAAACAGCCTCAAATATCCAACTGAACATAATGATCAATGGTTCCCTCATGTAAGACACATTGAGGGTAAATTCTTAAGTCTACACCCTGACTGCAACTTGAAGTTTAATACCCACATTCAGCACATAACCAAGAAAGTCTCCAAAACAGCAAGCATCCACTCCAAGATATGTTACTGTATACCTCAAACAGCATTACTTACACTGTACTACTCTCTAATCTATCCTTACCTTACCTATGGTATTTGTGCCTGGGTATCTACTACATCAAATCACCTAAAACCAATAATAACTTGACAAATAGCTGCTGTGCAAACAATTACCTAATCCAGTGCCAGACAACACACTCCCCCAGTCTTCAAACGTTTAACTTATTTGATCCTTTCCTGTCCAGAACCCTGAAATTAATACTACTCTCAGTGTCCAATTAAAAAAAAAAAAATTATCAGTATGCCCTCTGTTCTGTTGATTGTGCACAAGAAACTACCCATTCAACTATTACTATAAAGTTCACAGAAGTCATTAATTTGACTAATTTTATACAAAAAAATACCATTTCAAAAATGGCCCAAAACAACGTACATTATTTTTGTTCTATGGGGTAGCCCTCCTCTGTCTGGTATGCCATCCCTCTTTTGAGTTATTAATTTTTCCTGGAGCCAAACAATTGGAATTTGTCACCATTAAACACTGTTATTTTCTAATGGCTACTGAAAAATTTAACTTATATCCTCTTGTAAATTTTCAATGTCCTCTACTGAGGCAACTCATGCTAATTTTTGTATCATCCGTATAGTTATGATTAAAATGGTTAGTCAGTAGTTTACTAAGCTAGTGGTAAAAGTAGTGTTAGACGTGATAAACATTTATATTTATTGCATTTAAAATGTTATATCAAATCAAATAACATCAATCCAAATCAAATATTACATAAAGTTCAAGAGATGTTTTTGACAATGTGTTTTAAACTACTGGGAGAAAAAGTTTCTTGAGCCTTCAGGTAAGCAGTCCCTAACTGTGGGTCCTGTGATCTGTATGGGGTATTTACAAGTGCTCCTTGACTTATGAGGGGTTACATTCCGATGAATCCATCTTAAGTCAAATATGAATTATTTTGGAGCTGAAACTTAAGATAATAATCCAGTGTGAAGGTTGCAAGTTTGTAACCTGCATTCATTTATTTACTTTACATAAATAACTACAGTCACTGAATAAGTGAATAAGTAATTAAATAATTACTATAACTAAATACGTACCAGTATTGTAATGTAAATAAATGAATACAAGTTATGAACTTGCCGCCTTCACGCTGGGTAATTATCTTAAGTTTCACTTCCAAAGTACAGTGGACCCTCGTTTTTCGTAATTAATTCATTCCAGGGAGCATGACTATTATCGAAATTGACAATTTGCAAATCCATTTTCCCCATAAGAAATAATGTAAATCCAATTAATTCGTTCCAGACACCCAGAAGTATCAACAACAATTTTTTTTTACCATAACAATAGATTTACATGCACAAAAGAATGAACATTCAACATGACAGTTACCTTTATTGAAGGCTGTTGTTGATGAATGGAAGACAGGGAGGAGGAGAGAGGGAAGAGAGGTTATTGTTTGGAAGGGGGAATCCCCCTCCATAAGAACTCTAGGTCACTTCAGGGGTCACTTCCCTAGCTTAAATATAGAGTTACATGCAGAAAAGAAAGCCAAATAAATGTAAAGCACTAATAAAATGTATAAATGAACATTTAACACCACACTTGTTCTATCTAGGCTGGAATATTGCTGCACACTAACAGCACCTTTCAAGGCAGGTGAAATTGCTGACCTAGAAAATGTACAGAGAACCTTCACGGCGTGCATAACGG